TTTTTTTAGGAACTGGTAGATTACCTCAGTGTTAATTATGTACAATTATTGATTTCAGTGCACTCACTCTTGAGGATGAGAAAAGAATGCTGGCATATTTGATTAATGGATTTATAAAGATGGTACGTATTGGGGAAGACAGACGGTTTAGTGCCCTTGGGAATGTGATGTCATTGTTTAGCCTCAGTCTGATGAGTGCAGTTAACTTCATGTTCCCTGGTGCTTTTCATTTGTATTACAATCAGATGAAATTAGGAAACATCATACATTAACCAGACCTTCCTGGGGACTGAGAATGCCAAGACAAACTGGCTTAAGAAAAAACTACAGGGACAGGAGGGGAGACTTATTGGCTCCTGTGACCAAAGGTTCTGGGATGGCACTCTCAGGAGGAACAGCTGGACTCTGGACTGCTTGAGATGTATTGGCTCATGTGACTGAAGAGGGTAGACTGGAGCTCTCTGGAGGAATAGCTGCTCAGTGACTGAAGAGTCTGGCCCTGAGCTCTCTGGAGGAACAGCTGGACTGGTGGTCTCCAATGGGATCATCTGGACCTTGATTTGTTGTCGGCTTTGCCTCATTTCCAGTGCAGGCAGACTCTTCCTCATGAGAGCCGGGATTTCCTTCCCCACAACTCAGCAGGCCGGCAGGAGGTGCTCCAGCAGAAGTCTGAAGATTGAGCCTCTTCAGATTAATCGGGGTCATGAGCCAGGGAGATTGGGCAGACCTGGTTGACCCGAATGGTAGACTGAGAGTGGGGAGATGGAGTTCCCTGTAGCAACTGACCTGCTGTTCCCAGGGGGTCAAAGGTCCTGGGTGTGCACTACCAGATATCTACTCCCCACGCCGATTGCTGCACAATAGCTCACTCCAGAACCTAGTGGCGTGAAATTGCAGTGACTTAGGAATTCATACAAATCCATGCATTGGTGATGTCATAGTGTACTCCATGTGGTGGCCACTTGTGGTTGGGCGCAGAGCAACACTGAGGCTAGAGGATCCTTGGTGGTCTTGCTCACGTGTCTGGGGCATCTCCTTCCTCCCTCACATGGCCACTTTCTTTGTGCATGACCTCTCACTCGTCACTAGCTGAACCTGACCTCTTTTACATCATGCCAGCTTCTACAAGGGCAAGAACACAAGCCGAGGCTCAGGAACCACCGTGACAGTGCTACGTTCTGTGGGTCAGCATCAGGACCAGCCCTGGTGGAGGGGAGAAGTAGATAACGTCTCTCTATAAGAAGTGTGGCCAAGGGACAGTGCAAAAGGATAAGCCAAGTGGGAGGGATTATTGTGGCCGCCTTTGGATGCGGTCCATTGCACCATCCTAAACCACAAGAATCTTTGCTTTGAATTCTTGGCACCCAAAAGCTAAAATACCAACTGCGCATATGTCTTTTATTTCATCCAGAATGTCAGGATCAGAGCTGGCCAAATGAAAATGCCTAGATGATGGTGAAAATAACCTTGAAAATGTGACTTGTCAACAACTGAGCTCGATTATAATGGCCCTCCTGACTTTGTTGTTGTTGTTGTTAAGTGCTGTCTAGTCGGTTTCGACTCTTAACAACCCTGTATGGGGTTTCCAAGGAGCGGCTGGTGAGTTTGAACCACCAACTTTAAGGTTCAACACAATCCAACCTTGTAGTCCAGTGCATTAACCCACAGCACCACACCAGGACTCCTCCTGACTTTAGGGATAAAATACCAGTTTCAATGAAAATTCAGGGATAGCTTTTCAGGTGCCATGTTAGAAAATGTACCTAGAATTTCTAGGTGACTCCTGCTTCCTGTGCCCTTGATTTATAAACTGATCATGTGACATCCTTTCTATGCCTTTGAGAGTCAGTGAGCGATACTGGGAAGGAGTATGAGGAGACAGACGTGGAATCTGGTCACTCAGGTAGAAATGGCGGTCCTGAACACACCCGACTGATAACAGCCATGACATTTCCCCTACTGTTCAGAAACGAAGAAACGAATTTTAATGACAAAGAAATGTCAGTCCGTGGCTCTTATACGTAATACTTATTTCCTCATGCCAACAGCCACCGACAAACTATTGAATTGCAGTCCCCATCAGAACCCAGGAAAGGTGCGACTTTTATTAAGGAAACCCCTCCCTGTAACCACATGAATATTCTGTGCAAAAGCTTGAAGCCGACAAACAAAATTCCAGCATGTTCTGCCAGTGGTTCTCACATAGGCTGGGAAGTCCGATTTATATTTTGGGAGTTTTTGTTACTCTTTGGCCTTCTTAGATTCTAGTTTGTTGTTCACGGCAGCATGGTGGAGTAGTAATACTTGAGAGCAGATATCCCAGTGTGTGTTTTGACTTTCAGTTTGGGTTTCCTTTCAACTTCCACCCACTGAGATCTGTGAGATATCTGGGAAATTGTCTTCATAGTGCTTGCCCAGCCCCTTGGGGCTCACATAACAGCATTTAAGTTGTGTGTTTACTTACGGCCTAGAAGGAACACTGCCCTTTCCAATAACATTGTCCTTTTTAGCATCTTTCTCCTTGGTCCTAGGTTTCCTTTGGCCGCGATTTTGAGCAGCAGCTAAGTTTCTACGTGGAAGCTAGGTCCATGTTCTGCAACCTGGAACCTGTCCTTGCACAGTTAATTCATGTAAGGATTTTTACTCATTCATCCTCTCAACAAGTAGTTACTGACTGTCTGTGTGCCATTGCCGGGTCTCGCTGTTCATCTGGGACTCATTTGACCTTGTACTGCTGTTCTCTAGGGTACAAAAGGTGGATCCGCAACTCTTTCCAACTCTGTCTTAACTCTCTGGATGGTTTCTATTAGTCTCTTTCTTTCATGTTCTTAGGTCCTCATGCCACCAGCAAACACATCAGTGACTTTTACTGATAAATTGGGAAGTACAGTGATTCCGTCCATGATTCGAGCCCACCAGTCACTCTGAGGGAGAAAGATGAAGGTTTCTGCTCCCACCAAGATTTAAAAGCCTCAGAAACCCTATGTAGGGTCACTAAGAGTTGGAACCAACTTGATGGCACTTGACAACAATAACTGATAAATTGGTTATAGAACTACTACCCTAGAGCCCCAGTCTCTTATTGAGCCTCAATCAGAGGCTCCCAAGTTTTCTTGGGTCACGGTGCCACTCAGTAATTTTTCACAGCGTCCCTTCAGGCCAGAGGAAGAAATGACAGTCTGTTAATTAAATGTTAAGTACTGCCGAGGTGGTTCCGATTCATGTGACCCTGTTTAGGGTTTCCAAGGAGCAGGTTCAAACAAGTATTTATGCCTCAACAACTTAGTAGCCATTTGAAAAAACAATATACATAAATTGGAAGAAAACGATTTTAGTTGAACTCTTCAGTAATCACAAATACTTGGTAATGAGGTGTGTGTATCTGCTGGGTAACATGGTCCCCATGTTCTAGTCCATCAGCTGCTCTGCAGGAGAACACAGGCTTTCTGCTCCCATAAAGATTTACAGCTTCACACATCTGTTACAGGGTCCCTCTGAGTCTGAACCCACTCAACAGCTCACACCCACCACTGATCTTTGCACAGTACTACCTTTTTTTTTTTTTATCTCAGCAGCTTCCTTAAAGCCCAGCTTTGCAGAGATCTGATGCCACCTCAGAGAGCATGATTGAGCCCAGTGTGGAATCCGTGTCCTGCCTCACACCAGGGTTTTACTCACTGTCCAGTTATTGGTTCTGCTGTATGTCCCTCAAGGATGTGCCCCTGTGGGGTCGCTGGGGCTTCTCAGTGCACAGTTTGAGAACCATACACTCCAGCTTCTCATAATCTTGAGACGTTCCCTGAGGTTTCTTCAATTTAAGGAGAAACAGCCTTTTAAAATATTTTTTTAAATGTTTGTTAATTAGTGCCCACCGGCTAGGGGTCTGAGCATTACTGGAGCTGGTGTATTTGGCCCCTTAAAGACAATGCCAGGGCTGTGTTTACGCCTCTTATTGTTATTGTTAGCACCACCTGGCTAAATTGGCCTGCTCTCAGAGTTAAATGTTTCTTTCAAGATTTCTAAGCCTAGTTTGTGGAATTTCTGGGAAGAAAATAAGTGAACCTTGGCTACTTCTTAAACCAGAAAACAGTGCCTTTGAATGTTGGTTGCTGGGCATGACTACCTCCAGGAATGCCTTTTGTTTGTTCTCTCGAGAGTCTGTACGCCAAGGTTGCATCAGGCCTGATGACCCTGTGGCATTTCAGGGTTCAGTAAGAGCCAGTCTTGTCCCCAATCAGATTGTCCTCATCACCATGTATGATGCCCAGCGCTCTGAGCCTGCCCTCGTTAACATTCATTGACCTTTTATTTCTCTTTTTACCGATTTACAAATGCAGAGTGTGAACCGATTAGCCATGGAGACCCAAAAAGTCATGAAAGGCAATCATTCCAGAAAGACGGCTGCGTTTGTTCGGGTACGTTCTCCAGATACAGGCTCTCAGACCTGAACTCCAGCGAGGAGTATTGTTTTCTGGTTACTAATGTGTTCCTCCTGGAAAAACACATGTGTGTCCTCATAAAGGTGGAGCAAATTAGTAACTTCAAAATGTAGTATTGAGTTTTCAGATTCATTTTTCCTTCAAAGAATCTGTGAGCTAACGAGTGCCCTTAATGTTTTTAGAAGACACTGCCGGGTGAGACTGAGTCTTGGTCTAGAGGAGGTGGTGGAGAGGTGGCTGCTGCTCTGATATGGGCCTGTCATCTGGAAGGGCTGTTACTGCCTTTTCCCCTCTTGACAAGAGTCAGGCACAATTTTGGTGGGGGGAAAGAAAGCAAAACTCAGCGTTTTGAGTACACTACTGAAAATTTTATCAAGACAATACATGTCCATGATTTAAAAAAACAAAACCGTATCAAAACAGTCACTATGAAAAATAAACATCCAGCCCTGCCCTTTCTCACCTCTTCTCTCTTTGCTCAAAGTCTCTCGCCTCAAGCCCTTTTTCGTACTTCTTTTCATTTCCTGCCTGTTTTCAAGTAACTGGTTTAGACAGCTATTAATTGATCCGTGTGAGGTGCTGTTTGTGTACTTCCTGTGATGGCGGCTGAGGGAGGCTTCTCCAAGCACCCTTACCTCTTTACCTCCACCTTCCTCACCTCCTGGTGCCAGCAGAGGCAAGAGGGAAGCATTTGCCTCCAAATGGGGGGCAACTGCTGTAATTGTGTTTAAAAATATGGGATGAGAAGCAATACAGTTGGATGATGATGCATGGAGGAGATTGTAATCATTGCAATGAAACGATGAGTGTAAAACCCATGTTCTCCCATGTAAACTATCACTCAATTCACAGTAAAAACTTTTTTAAAAATATGGGATGGGTGCAAGCAAGAGTACGAAGTGCCTGTGACGGCTGGGGTCCTCTTTCTTCCAGGCCTGCGTTGCTTACTGCTTCATCACCATCCCTTCACTGGTGGGAATCTTCACGCGGCTCAATCTCTACCTGCATTCCGGGCAGGTTGCCCTGGCCAACCAGTGTCTCTCCCAAGGTAAGTCCACCATTCTCTTCCCTGCCGCTCGTTTGCTGACTCAGCTTACAGACTCAGCATACGTGTGCATGTGTGTGTGGAGAGAGAGGAGGAAAGAAAACCAGTGATGAAGCCATGATGAATTTTCAGTCTGTTGCTTTTGTAGGAAGCACCACACACACACAAACACACAAATGCACACACACACGTTTGTAGAGTCAGAGAGACCTCCGAGAAAGATGGCAGAGTGTGGCCGTTTCCCTGTCAGAACCTCTTCAGTCTGCCTCAGACATCCCGGTCTGTGTCTGGGGGACTTCAGAAGTTAGGAGTGCTGTACCTTGTGCCCTAATTTCATTTGTTTTGTTGTTGGTGTTGGTGTTTGTTTGATTGAAACCCCAGAGACACACAAGTAGAATCTAATCTTTGTAGAAGCAAACGTGCTACAGCTTTCTGATAGCAATTCTGTCCCTCAAGATTGTGTTTCTGTACCAGGCCCAGAAGCTGTCCCTGAGGCATGGCCAAGTGGGGTGGTGGGGACAGGAGAGGAAGGGAGCCCATGAAGAGTTCCCCAGTGAGCAGGGTACTACTCTGGGACCCCCTGGGACCTCAGGAACTATGCCTTTATTGGAAGAGTGGGAGGTTGGGGTTTCTCAGCACCCCAACTCAACAGGTTCCCTGGATCAGGCAGCTAAATGAACACTTGTGGTGTGGCAGGGAGATGGCTCATTCATTTAGTCAGCAAAACAGCCTTCAGTGCAGGGGAAGGGGTCTCGGGTAGTCTTTTTTTTTTTTTTTCCATGACTGAGTGACATTTTTATTATCATTGGATTCTTTATTACTTTGTGCCATTTTTTTTTTTTTCCTTTAACAAAAAAGAATAGCAGAAATAACTCTATGCTCCTGGTTAAATATTAAGAGCGCTTCTATAAAATCCCTTAAGAAGAAAGGTCAGTGAGTACTGAATATGACAAGTCTTTTTCTACAACATGTAAAAGATGACAGTCACTAGGCTTCATGAGCCTGGAGCAGACCAGTGCATTTCCTGGGCTTCCCACTGGTCTCTTCAGAGGTGAACAGGAATGTGAATGGACCACTCAAAATATCTGGTCTTATTCTATTGGTCACTGAAACGAAGCTCCCAGGAGCAGCTGTGGGGAGGAAACCACACAATCCAATAATGCTTGTAAGGGACCCAGAGCCATCTGCTGCATGACTCACTTCCGGGTAGTCTCTTGTCCTTCTCTTCATCTCTGTAGCTCTCAGAGCTCTCGCGTGCTTTCTCTCACCTCTTTCTTCTCCCGCTGTGTCTGTCCATTCTCCCTACCCCTCATGTGGGGGAGGACCTTATATACTACTACAGAACATAGAAGGCATCTTGCCAAATATATTCAAAGGTTATATAACAGTGTGGCATCATTCTAATAGGGCGGCACACATAATAGCAATGATGTATCATTCCCTGGTTTCTGTCGGAACCACCGAGTCACCCCTGCCTGGAAGAAGAGGGTCCCTGAGAAGCTATAGCCACTCCCTGGCTTGAGCCCCCTTCTGATCCAACAATGCCTCCCTGAGGGGCAAAAGATGGGTTAGCTGTTGAGACTTAGGCTAAGCTACCCTCTGGTGTGGCTGATTGGCTTCTGGAATGTTAACCTGGAGAGTTAACTCCCTGGCCGGCTCCTCCCTCAAGTCAAGGGAAGGCTCTCTGGTTTAATTTAGGGCGCCCTAGTCACAGAACCTGGCAAGCAGGATGCAAGAGCATCATACTCAGACTATAGCAACCCCAGGTGACGCTTAGTGAGCTCTTTACACATGGTCCTGTGGTGGTGGATGCCCTTCTCATAGGCAAGAAACTGAGGCAGGGAAGGGATGAGGAAGTCCCCTCAGGAGTCACTGAGCTGTCTGGCTGGGCTCCAGACTCCCAGTACTTTGGGGGTTCCTGTAGCCCTGAGTAAGATTGACTGGTGATCCCAGTGATGACTCTTCTACCACATGATGATTTATGTCGGGGTGCTGCCTGCCTCTCTCATCTGGACCCTGATTAGTCTGGGGAGGCTCTGGGCACCAAAGTCTTCAAATGTTATTGTGATCCAGAAACTTCCCAACTCAGCCAGGGAGGACTCCAGTGGCTTCCCAGTGTCCTTGGAACAAAACCAAGTGCCTCAAAGTCCCCATGAGGCCCAGTGCCTGGCTGCTTTCCAATCTTATCTTGCCGCCCCTTCAGTTCTTTGAACATGCTAAGCTGCTTCCCAATCCAGGGCCTTTCCCCTTGTTGTTGCCCCAGATTTTCACCTTTTTGTTCCCCCTAAATGACTGGTCAAGTGATGAGAAGCAAGCCTTGTCTCTTTGGGTGTAAAAATTTGTAAAACATTGACCCGTTGAGTTGGCTTAGTAGACATTCCATGTGAAATGGAGGACTAGCAGGATCATTCTGTACTTGATTTATTTGGTCTCTTAATGTCTTTCCTTAACCATGTGCCAGTGAGCGGAACTCACTGTTGACGTCAGAGTAGAATTAATGGAGTTTGTTCATGCTGTTGGAATCAGTTTTGAGAGATGGGATTCCTTATCGTAAAGCAGGACACATTCTTGACCTTGTTCTCTCATACGTATACCTTGCTGTCTGTATGTCGTAGGAACTCAGGAAATGTTTCCTGAGCTAATGAAAGCTTACACACACCTTCTTGTTTCTTGGGAGGGGCTAGAAGTTCCCCTCCCTGCTATAGAGTGTTTGTTTTATTGGGTCATGTTCCTGAGAGGGCCTCCTGTGACTCTGGTTGCTGCAGAAACTCCAGAGTGTTAGTTGCTTGTCCTCTCGCCCCTCTTTTGCAAGGACACACAGCTGAGTACAGTTAGTGACGTAACCTGATAATTGAAGCCCCTCTAAACTGCAAATAAATAGCAGACAAAAGTACATCTTTGCAGACTTGGATACCAAACCATTTTTAGGCACCTCACAAGATAAACACCCCAGTGTTGTTTGAAAGTACTTGAAACGGAAACTGGCTTAGGAAGACAGAAACAGGAAGAAGGCAGGCATGTGGAGGAAAGGGCTACAGAACAGATCACCCACCTGAAAACTCAGACACCCCCCCTACTACCACCACCACCAAGTAACGTGACTCAGGGTTAAGAAGGGCACTTTCACGCTGAAGGAGCACTACCTTCACATGAACTCCTCGTCTAAGCCGGATCAGGTCAGTGAGTCGGCAGGTCACTCGCCACTGCAGTGAGTGAGCTGGCCTCACCGAGCTCACAGGTGATGCAGACTGCATCCTAAGAACATGGCTTTGGAAGGGAGGATCCTGGGAAGCCTTCCTTTTAAAGCACACACTAGGTGTTTTTTTGACATAAGTGCTGAGGGCCTACTTGGTGTCAGGCATGGGTGGGCCCAGCCAAACTGCATGGCCCCTATCCACATGGAGGTAGGAGTCTGGTAGAGAGAACAGATACTAACCAACCACACACACAAAGCAGAATCATGGTGTCCCGAGTCCTATGAGAAAAATAACCCATGGCCTGATGGTCCAGAAGGAGTGCAAGGGTCAAGGTCAGGGAAAGCCTCCTTGGAAAAGGACATTTAAGTCAAGACCCAGCAGGTGTCATAAGGTCGGGACAAGAGTAAGTGAGCAGTAATTGACAGAGGGAACAAGCACAATGCAGCCACTTTCAAAACTTTGGCCGAGGCCAAAGCAGTCTACTCTGAAGTAAATGGTTGGGGCTCTTCTGCCCTCTCCCCGGGACACCAGGGCAACAGTGGTCCAGCAGTGCACTTCTCACCGTGCATGTGGGAGAGCTGGGTTCAGTTCCCAGCCAATGCACCTCAAGCATACAGTCTGTCACTGGGAGCTTTCAGCAGAGCCTCCAAACTAAGATGGACCAGGAAGAAAGGCCTGGTGATCTGCTTCTGAAAATCCGCCCAGGAAAACCATGTGGATCCCAGTGGTATGAACTCCCACCCATCAAGGGGATGGCGCAGGATGGAGCAGCATTTCATTCCACCGTGCGTGCAGTTGCCACGAGTCAGGGATCTAACAACATCTGCCAACAGACATCTGCTGGGGCAACCCTCCTAAACCCCCCAGACTGCTAAGACTTCTCACTCCCACTATGCCTCTGCAGCAGAACTGGTGCAGAGCTGGGTGGGGGCCCTACCATCCTGGCAGCATCCCTGGCAGATCCCCTGAGGAGGAGCCGCACCTCATCACCTCAGACACCTCCCCCCACCTCCATAGCTATGTCTCCTCCTGGTTCAGATGAGGAGATTCACAAAGGAGCTTCCAGTGGAGCAGGGGCAAGAGGACAAGGCTGTGGGCACATCACACTCTAGAACTCCCCACCCCCCCAACACACACCCACTTTCTTTACCAAGGACCCGTGGTGATGCACTGGGCAACGCCCAGCTAGACACCTCCGCTTCCAACCTGTCAGCCCTCACCCCTGTGCTCTCTGAATCTCTTGTGGGGTTGAGCCTGCCCTATGGCCTGGTCCCTTCCGCTTTTTCCATATTATGCTGCCCCTGGTCCACGCTCAGGGTAAACACCAGGCAAGGTGGCTGTTAGAGACAGCGCCCTGAGTGTCCGACATCTGGGCTCCTCGTCCACGTCATCTCTCACTTTAAGAAGCAGGAATGTGGCATCGCTTCGTGTTGAATAATTTATCTGATGATTTTTACTTGAGTCTCTAAATGTTGTGGTGCTAAACCTTAAAAGCCTATTATTGTTTGTCCTTAAAGCCATGGCAGTAGTTGTTGGCCAAAATAAATAATGCATTCAATTACTGAGAATGGGGAAGCTAAATATAAATTAAATGAAACACATGGAAATGGGCCGCTTTTGTTCGCCTCCCTGAACTTCCTCCTTCCAGTTGTTTATACAGCAGCTCCCTGTAACTCACTTTCCCACTAATCCAGGGTCAGTGCTGCCTTCCTTTAACAGGCTGGGACTGGCTCCAGTTTACTTCCAGGTCTGCGCCTTCATGCACACGGTGCTGCCTGCAGACTGGGGTGTGGGGCGCAGAAGCAG